TCAGTTTTTTTTGAATTGTATGTTAGAAAATAATTCTTGGTATGGAAAAAACTTAAATATTTTAGGTTCTTCGAGAAGTCTCATCACTTGAACTTCAAAATTTTTTTGAGATTGCCATCTGAAAGAGCATTGTTCGAAGTCCTCCAGAACTAAGTTTTATGAAATTTGGGCTAATGATTTGCGATATATCGGCTTCAAACACAAAACTTACCGAGTAGACTATCGTTACGCGCTCGACGTGAACGTGCGCTAGTGAAAAGTATTCAAAATCTATTATGCAAACGGCCGGATACAATCGTTCGTCGTACAGACAAGAGCAAAGCATTTTATGTGAGCAATGCCGTTGATTTTGCACGCAAAGCTGCAGATTATATGGGCAAAACCGAAGCTTATCGAGAGCTAACCAGTGAAGTTTGTCCGTTGGCCGATAATTTGAATTCCGTAAGGAATTTAGTCCATGAGCTTCTGAACACAAATCTATCAGTTACGATCAACACAAAATGATGCTATCCAAGATTAATACGTTGGAGTTAGCTCGTCTTCATCTTATACCTAAACCACACAAGGTAACTTTGCTAGAACATAATAAGATGGTGCACCAGCCATTGGTGTTTCTAAGTTTTAGCTCTTAGCACCTTTATTCTTAAAAGTGGCTCGAGAAACTACATTTATCAATAGCATTGATTTTAGCCGAATCGGCTTCAAACACGACTTTCGTAAATGCTGGAAAGAGTCCTATTGTCAGCAAGGATTAAGAGTGGCCCCTCTCGAAGTGAAATTTTCCGCAAAAAGTAATCGAACTCTCGCACATTTCTTTGTGCACAAGAAGCCTCCACGTGAAATGTTAACGTTAACGGCATCAACCAACTCCACTGATTAATTATTGCGAATCAAAACAACTGCCGAATTCTAAATTTACCTGATGATGAACCCTTAAGCAAGGATCGATCACCCTATGGTCGATTTATTAATTTGCCATACGAAGATAATTGCAAGTCTTTTATGGATTTTTATAAACTTCTGTTGATAGATAATAAGTCATATGTAGGATAGAATTCTAAATTTACCTGATGATTAACCCTTAAGCAAGGTTCGAAACGATCGTCGTAAGTAGCTTGGAATTCAAATATCTCCAATCTAAAACTCACACCCCTTCAAATCTGATGCACTTTGGCAAATGTATTTCGCTCAATCACCAACTGGAGACGTAATACCAATGATTGCAACAAAAAACGTCCCCAATCTATAACGGCGATTAACACGTACTCGATAAATAGAATCTTCCGATACTCTTAAACCAAAGTCGCATACTTTACCAGCCCTCTGTTATATTAGTTATAGAAACACAACATCGGTAACCCCTGGTCACATGGTCGTAGACCCCTTGGCCTATGGTAAAAGTGTTGTGGTACTTAACTCGTTAAATACAGTAGGACAGTTTAATCTATCTGTTGCATTTTCTTTACTTTTATTTTTATTTTTCTTCTTCTTGATTATTGTTTCTAATTTCTTTTACTGGTTTTATCTTCTTTATTTACTTTTTACAGTAATATGTATAGTCCTGAAGAGTTTCTTAATAAAGAATACGAAACGCGTCGGCAATTACGTTTTTATACATATTACTATCACATATATAATTATTTTTCATCCACAAAGTCGATTACTGAAAAGTAAAAGTTGAGAACTACGAATTTAATTTGTTCTTGATAGCAAGTTAAATTCCTCTAAGCTCCTATGGATCATCCAATTCTTCGTGCACATGCATCTCTTGATCCTAATAGTAAATATGGTCTTTTTTCATTTTCTATAAAAATATTTGATTATTTTTGAAAGGTGCTGAAGCACAATCACAATTACGTCGTCCTGGTGAATCCGAACTGGATTATCATGAACGTCGTTATCAAGAACGAGTAAATTATTTTATTTTTTATTATTGATTTTTAAGCTTTTCATTATTTATTTTAGCTTCAAATGAACTTTATAGAAAGATTTTAAAAATCAATATTTTTCATAATTTATTTCTAATGAAAATTTCTCTCTGAGATTAATTGTTAATGAAAGTCGACGCTCAGATAATAATTAATTGAGAAAAATTTTTTTGTTTTGTGACTAACTTCACATGTTTATGTCCGTTAGAATATAAATCAAGTTTATTTATGGATTTAAAAACAAACACACATTCAATTTAAACACCGGACTTTATGCGAAAGACAATATAATGTCGTTGGGAAATATATAAATTTTCAAAGAAAACAAAAAAAAAGAAAAGGAAGAAAAATATATTGATCAAATGTTTAAAACAACTCTCTCTTACGACACGTCTGAACTGATGTTTTCAATTCATCGCTGTTTACAATACACTTGAAACTTGGTTTTTGAATGCAAAGCAATATGAATTGCAAAGCATATGTTAGCTTTCAGAATGTATTTACATGAAAGATTAAATCACTAATTTTGTATATATACCTTGATTCGCATCATTTTCTTGTATATTGTCGTCATATTGGGCTGAATGTATTGGGCATCTGAAGCATGATAGGATTTCAATTATTTTGTTGAAATGGAACTAAATGAAATATGTGTATTTTGACCACACTGCTTCTTACAGCCGTAAAGTTTGAATAGACTGATTTAGTATTAATTTTTGTTGTTCGAATATTGTAGGTCGATACAGCATTGATTGTTATGTAGTAGTCACTAATTTCATTCTCTCATAATACAAGAATATTGATTCCAAAGCATTTTGCTTTAAATGAAGAATTCGACCACATTTGTAACAAAACAAATCAAAACTTGGTTTTTAAATGAAGGTTTGAAGTTGTTGACTAATTTCATCATGAGCTTTTGATTCGATACTTTATCATTGTATTAATAATAAAGCTCACATGGAATAAGATTATCAATTTATTTTGATAATATAATACCAATCATTCCATTAATACTGAATTGATTGATTCGATGAATGAAAGAGAGATCAGACGTGTTCTGCAGACAGTTAGCCATAGAATCACGGAAAGTGTGATTGATACAAGCAAAAAAAGGGAAATTTTAAAATGTTAGATATTACTACCTAACATTCTTCTATTACAATCCAAAAAACAAACGAATACAAATATGTTAGTGGAGTTAACATAAAAAATTACCATAGAAATATGAAAGCTCTAGATTAAAAAATCATAAAGAATGTGTTGATGAATGAAGAGTATTTAAAAAAACGCACCGGATATATTCTCAACATTTGAAAATCGAGATAAATAATCATCAACATACTTACAGGTTTTAACTTACTTTTATTTTTGCCTTATGTTTCGTAAGGAGTATCACGATCACATAATTTTTGTTCGATTATTTGATAATAGTTTTTAAAAGAAAAACTTACTTTATAGTTCATGATCAAACGTCAAGAATATAACAATGGATAAATCAATATCATTTTCTAATATATCATACACACATTTCAAATGCTTATTTATAATTGAAGTGAATAAGTTTGATAAATGAAGTTTTCATCCAGCTACTGTTGCATTTTTTGCAATTTTCGATACGTTTGATGATAGATATGTTTTGTGTCCCTTCAACGAATGGAAGACGCGAGATGGTAGTGACAGTTTGGTTAAAAGTGACGAAAATTTTTGTTTGAGTTGTTCTACATTTTTGCGATGAAGTTTGTATAATTAATAGCCAAACGTTTTGTCAGAAAGAATTAATGAGAAATATGGTGTCCCTTGTTGGGCTACATTTATAACACTTCATATGCAGTGTCTCGTGTGAGTAAGTTCTTACATAATTCACGATCGTCATTACACATAGAGAGAGAAATACGAGAATGCATCATTTAAAAGTGAAAACAGCATATAAATCCACATTGAATGTGCGGAAAAAGAAAGATAACATCTCTACTTTCACATCATCACAAGGATTAAATACAAAAAAAATAATATATAATCATCAAAAATAAAGGGAGATAATGCACATACATTTCTTATTATAATAAAACCAACTAATATAAATAAATTTGTAAAAGAACATATTGGATATAGTTATGAACTTCATTTGATAGTATTAAGGAAAATAGACTAATTGCAAAAGATACGAGAGTTTCTATCATTTTATTGATTAACTTACAAATCAGCGTGGACGTTTCAACTTATCGCAAGTCATTTTCAACACAAAAGCATAGACATCTGTTTTGTAACATTGTATAATAGGAAGAAAAGAACAAAACGTATATTTCCTTTTCCACAGTAACTTCTCTCTTCTAATTTTCTTTTGCTCATTTTGTGTTGAAAATGACTTGCGATAAGCCGAAACGTCCACGTTGATTTGTAAGTTAATCAATAAAATAATAGAAACTCTCGTATCTTTTGCAATTAGTGGATACGGTTATATCCATACCCTCCAAAGTAAAATACATAAGAGAAATCTGAGAAGGAGAGAATCTATCATTGAACAGAAAAGCAAGAAACAGAACCGAGAGAAATACATGTTCGAATAAGAAAAGGAAATTCACCAAATAGAGAAAACTGTAGAAAAATGATAGATAACAGCAGGTGATTGTATTGCTACTTAACAATATACGCTTTCATGCAGCGAGGGAGAGGAAAAAGCATTCCTTTGCATAATCTTACAATACTACTCAAACTACATATATAATACGAAAAAGAATTATGTTTAAAAATAAAACTTATGCTCTATCAAAATAATCTTATAATACATCTGGTGTCTTTCGAATTTTAAATAGGACTGATTTTACTGGAAAACTTACTTTTTTCTTTTCGTTGACTGACTATATTTCTCTCGGAAGCGTACCTTATTACGTATTTCTTTTAGCTCTACATTTGTAGGATAGCGTCCTTTTTCTGCCATCAATCTTGCCGCAAGGGCTTCTTCTCTATGGATATTTAGAATATCTATATTAGTTATCGATCCATCAGGATTTTGGAGGGTTATGGTTTCTATTTTCTTGACCATACGCCGGTATGAGTTACTAGCTACTTCACCGGCTGGAGTTGATGCATTTTCAGCAAAGTCCTGTATAGAAGCATACCCTGATGTAGCAAGTTGAAGGGCGATACTAGGGTTCCCTTCAAGTCTCAAAGCACAGTCTACATCTTTGCAATATTCTGTAGCCCTTGCACCAGAACCTGTACCCGGATGTTGTCTATGTGTGGATGTTTGTTCAAAATAAGCTGCACCACTATCTTCCATTTGTCTACCCTCAGCACTTTTCCTAGGAATTTTTGATTCAAAATTAAGATTACCAGATGTTACTCTGAAGGGAATAACATGTTCAGATTCATGCGTTTTGCCAGTAATCTTTACATTTTCCTCTTGTTCTAGACGGGTCTTTTCAGCACTCCTAGTTCCGTACGTTCCATCACTTTTTGAAGAGGTCGTTTGTTTTTCATCTCGTTCTATCGAAGACACACCTTCTTCAGCAGATGCAGATTTAGGTTTCTGTTTACCACCTATCATTGTATCACGTCCACTCCTATCGATTTCTTCCCTATATCTATCGAATTTGTTTCGATTTCGGTCAATATATTGGTATAATTCATTCCGCTCCTGTTGTATCATACTTTTATTTACTGTTTGTCCAAGTGATTCGTGATAAGCTATTATCAAACAATCGTTACGCCCATTGATCTGTGTGTATGTTTCTGTACCTCTAGCAGTAAAATAATGTCCAACATCTCCATTCTCATCTGCTTTATAATTAATTTTAGCTGATTGTTTAAAAAAAGCAGGTATCTTTCCTAGTCCAGATGGTCTTATTACTTCTTTTTCTCCAGTATCTATATTATAAACAACTATATTTCTTGATTTACTCTCTGCTAACATTTTAATACCAGCAAGATCTAAAGCTCTATCTTTCTCTGTAGCTTCTTCTGAAGAATATCCAGGCAAGTTTTTCAAATTCTTAACATCATTTTGTAGACTTTCTCTTTTAGCCTGCTCTTCTTTTTCGTTCTTTGATTTATCTGTAGTCGAACGTTGTTCAATACTAACTTGACTTTCTCTTTGATTCTGATTTGATCGTTTTAATACATCAACTGGATTCTTTCCATTAAATTCTGAACTAATCATATCTTTTGCAATTTGTCCTACTACTTTAGCAATCTGTTTTAATGTTCCACTAATGATTTGTCTTATTACTCTATCTAGTTCTCTTGTTAATTTACTTGTTATATATCCTTTAATAATATTCTTCAATGCATCTGCTCTTGCTTGAATATGACTATTATTTATATTTTCTGTATTATTATTCTCATCTATTTTGTTTGTAGCGCCTTCAATAATACTCTTCAGAGTATTTTTGGCATGATTAAATTGTAAAACAGATTCAATTACACTCCATAATTTATCAACCATAAGTGTTGCTTGAATAGTATTAGCAGCTATTTTAGCATATTTTGAATTCGATTTCTTTAGGCCATCAGTAAGTACTTGATAACTATTTTGTAAAGAAGATATAACTTGTACTCGGATATTATCAAACTGTTGTGGTAATATAAGATTTCTTCCTAAAGCTCCTTCAATATCTTTTCTCATTTTTACAAAAGAGTTTTCGAATTCTTTTATATTATTTTTACTATTAACATAAAGAATTTCTACTTTACTTTTAATTGATTTATTTATTTCTTTTAAAAAGTTTTCTTCTATAGAACTGACAACTTTTTGTATAACACCGTCTTGAATTTGTTCCATAATTTTTTCTGTTATAATATTCGTTAAACAAGTAGTTGCAAACTGAAGTGCTGCTTTTCCAACTATTTTTGCAATCATTGCTGCTCTAGATACTGATCCTAATTTAGCAACAGTATTTCCTATAGATGCCAATCTTCCAAATCCAGCGCTCATTATCGAAAGACTTAAACTAATTGCTTTTTGTATTACCCAATCTTTCCAACTAAAATTACCTGATAGACCTGCCATAGTAGCATAAACCATATCAGAAATACCTTCACTAATTAAAGCACTTCCTATATTAACAAGACCATATGATATTAAAATTGCTCCTGCAATGACTTGAGCAAGTCCAATCATTGCAACTGCAAAAGCTCTCCAATCCCACCAAGGTTTATCTTCTTCAACAATTAAAAATTTATCTAAACCAAGTCCTTCGAAAAATTTTAATTCATTAGGAACAATTTCTTGATCTTTAAGATCAATAAAATCTTTTAAATTTGCTTTTAAATCATCTTTATATGAACGAATATCTCCTTGTAAACTTAATATTTTTGATAGAATTAAATTTTTATCATTATGAAATTCATCTGTTAAAGTTTCATTTAACTTTTCCTCAATATCTTTACTATTATCTCCATATTTATGTATAGCTAGTCCACCTGATTTTAAAATATTTCTTTCTTTTAAATAAATACGAATTTTGTTTCCTTCTTCTTCTTTTGTAGAAAAAGGTAAATCTGTTTGATATAAATATTTACTACTTTCTTGAATATTTTCTTTTAATTCTATTAAAAATGTTTTAAGATCTTTTGTTTCATGACCATTATCATTAAATTTTATTTTGGAATATTTATCTTGAAAATTTAAAGAATTCAAATCTAATTCTTCAATTTTAACTCGTTTAGTTTTAATTAAAATTTGTTTTTCTATTAAATAAATTTTTAAATTTTTCTTTTCTATAGAATTTTCAAATAAAGAAGTATCAACTTGTTGTACATCTATTTGTTTTTTCTAAATCTTTCCAAATATTTTCATATTTTTCTGGTAATTCTTTTTCTATTCTATGTTTATGTAATATATAAACTTTTTCGGAATTTTTAATCTTTAAATTTTCCCATAATTCTTCATTATAACAAACAATATTTTCAAAATCTTTCTTTTCAAATTTTTCTTTAGTATTTAATAAATTAATTAATTTATCTGCAATCGAAGGATCAATATTATCTCGTATATTCTTTTCCATTTTCTTTCGTTCTTGGGAATTATTTTGAAATCTTTTTCTTATTTTATCTCCTTGAATAATTCCAGCATCAACTAAAAGTTTATATAATTTTTCTCCTTTTTTCATCATCTTCTTTTGTTAGATTTTGTCTATCTTTTGCATGTAAAATAAAATCAAAAGATTCGACTGTATCTCTTACAGCTTGACGTAAATAATGTAACTGTAATCCAATAACTTCTAATTTTCCAGTAATTTGATCTTGATAAAAATTTTCTTTAGAAGAAATTTTTTGTAAAATATCAGCAGTAGCTGATTGAGAAAGAAGTTCAGCAATTTTAAGATTTGACATTAAATTTTGTTTAATTAATTCTAATGAACAAAGAGCTTGTTTTAATTCTCTTCGCGATTGTTTTTTAATATCTTCGCCAGTTTTTTTTTTTAATGTAATAATACAATAAGCAAGTGCTATATGTGAAAAACCTGAAATATCTCCATATTCTATTCCTTTTTCAAAACATAATTTAGCCATTGAAATTTCATTTTCTGAAAGACAAACTTTTCCAATATGAGTAGCTTCTTCTGGTTGATTAATAAACTTACTTAATAAATCTTTAAAAGATGAATTATGTAATAGTTGGTTTAAATTTTCAATAAATGAAGAATCAAATTTATTTAAAAGATTAAGTTTTTGTTGAAAATTTTCAATAGTGTCGATTTCTTCTTTTGCTTTATCTAACCAAAATGCCCAACGATTTTTTAAAATATTTTCAAAAGCATCAATAAATTTCTGTTGAGATTTTTCTGGTTTATCATTAAATAATGGTTTAAAGATTGTTTTAGATATTGTACTCTTAAAATGATTAAATTTTGTAAAAAGTTCTTCTTCAGCTTCAAGATGAAGAATATTTTTTTGTTTTAATTCTGATAATCGAGCTGCTTCTTCATTATCCCTAAGAATTTTTTCTTTTTCAATAATAGCATCTGCTAAATTTTCTAATTTATTCTGTTTTTGTTCATTAGTATATTGATTTAAATCATACATTTCTTCATAAATAGATTTATCTACTAATAAAATAAATTGACCAGTACCTTGTGCTCCATTTCTAGCTGTTCTACCAAAAGCTTGTTCTTCAACTCGAACATTTTCTGGTAAATAACTTAAAATAACATGCATTCCTCCAGCTTTATTAACTTGTGGATCAACATG